CACCCCGTGGCCCTGGCACAGGAGGCACCGCAGGCTCTGCGCCGCGCGCGCTCATCTGACAGTCGTTTGCTGGGGGGAAGGAAGGACGGAAAAGGAAGCACAGCCTCTGTGCAACAGCTTGTTCGATGGGATCGTGCTGCCGGCATCGCTACGGGAAGGTTATCGCCTCAAGCGCTGTTCTCCACGTGCATTTTCATTTGCTTCCCCAGCTTTTCCCGTAGGCTGAGAGCAGACATCTGCAGGGGGATGGAAAAGTGCTCCAAGCCCCCTCGCTCTCAGTAACTGATTTAACAGTGGGCGACTGTGCTTTAACAGCATGTTACAGCTTCTGTTTTTAAGTTTGCATGTGACTAAATTACCGAGCATAAAAAAATAAAATGAAATAAAATAGCAGGGTCCTTAATCTGATGAAAGGAGGCTTAAAACAAAATAGGCATTAAAAATCAGCACCTGCTCTCCCAGCTGAAATCGGAGGAACATGTAACACATGGTGGAAGTGAAAAGTGTGTTGGACTCGGCATAAAGATATTTGTAATGCTGGCTCGAGGGGTTGTAATTCTCTCCCGGTGCCATTGTCCAACATGGCATCTTGCTTGACAGCACCGCTAACACACACCTGCGTAAATGAACCTCCCTAACCTCTGTTAGAAAGAGTCCATAGCTGCATCTTCCCGAGGCAGGTAAGTGCGAGCAAGGGGGTTTTTAGTGTACACTTCAAAAAAAAAAACAAAAATGGACCGTACCCTTTGGAGGCATTTGGTCCGTGTATGATTTTAAAAGTGGGCATTAAATCAATGCCGTGCTCCCCTGGCGTTCCTGAAGGATTGCTTATTGCAGCCACACCGGTGCCAGAAGAATTCATCATGACAGATGTTGTGGCAGTCTGAATATTAAAAGAAAATCAGCAGTTTGCTATTTACTGTATTAGGAGGCATTGCTCTTATGCTTTGGGAGGATGACCCATCAATAATGCTGCGCTACGATGGGATTCCCATGGAATTACGCAGTGCCGAATATCAGCCTTCTCACGAAATGGTTCATCATGATTAATGGTATTATTACCTAAACAGAGAAACTAATTAATTCAGTCTTCTTCCTTTAAGCCACCCCAGCTGAGCCGCCTTCTGCTAAAAAGAACTGTTACAGCAGGACTTCTTGGGTTTTATGCATTTCTACCACTGTTGAGCTTTCATTTTGTGCAGTTTTTAACCATTTTTACTCTCCTTTCTTCCATCTCCCTAGAGACTTCCCTCAGTCACTGACAAAGGGTGGGATTTAGCAAACAAATGACGGTGGGAGGAAGCGGATGGGATGTGTAAGGTTCATTGCTCGCCTCAGGCAGCCTATTTTTAAGAAGATGCGCAGGAAAGCATTAGGAGGGAGACCAGCTCTTGCTCTTGCGTTACCTTTTGTCCAAAACGTGATGCCACGTGCCACCACGGCTCGGTGGAATGAGATCTGGTGTGCACCCTCGTTAGTTAACGGGCCAGTCTTGGACTGGTCAATAAAATAGATAAATAACCAGGAGAGTGTGGAGTGCAGGAAAAAGCCGATTTCTAAAGCTGTAATGAATCCTCAGATTACTTGTCAAAAATATTAACTGGTTCTAGTACTTCCCTAAAAAGCAAGCTTTATCTAAAATAAGCATATGGGAATTGTCCATTCCAGCCTTTATAGATCCCATAAATATTTAAAGGTAGTTCTTGGTGACCCCAAGTTAGACAAACAAAGGCTTGATGCGGGGGAACCCAAGGACTCCGCAGCAGCCAGAGCTGTCACCGTCAGATCTGCAGCACCAATGTCACCCGGGTCCAGAAAGCACAAGAAGCCGGCTAGGGAGAGATGCAATATCCTGAGAGCTTAGGCAAGAGCGAGACGCACCAGCTTTGCTTCAGGCAGGCTAGAACTGCCAGAACGAGGAGAGGTAAGTCACTGTGCGCAGCTCAGGCTTGAGCCGAGGAGCCCTCGGCAGTGGGGAAAACAGGGTTTGTGTTTTCTTTGGCTTGTACCAAGAAAAAAAAAGGAAAAACCTTTACCTCCTTCAGTAAATTGCTTTTTGCCAAAGTCTTAGAAAATAGCTGTGTTGCAGTTTTGGGAGGGATTTTGGTAATG